GGGGGGGGGTATTGACATGTTTTTATGCATAGTAGAAATTGTAAATGGGTTGGTTTATCAATGTTATGCTCATACTGTGCTGAAACAACATAGGGGGAACCCTTACTGTCGTCATTTATCGTCTACATCTTTTGTATGTTTTTCACTCTCTTGTTAACTGGTATTTCCGGGGTGCCTTGATAGTAGATGCAGACTTTGAGTTATTTAGGCTAGAGAGGTGAGCAGAATAAGCCTGATTCCCCGTTTGGACTTCTCTGTTGACATCTACCCTTGTCGCTCAAACGACCTTATACAGTTGTGAGCGGCGTATAACAATACATGTACTAAAATTAATTTGGTGTGTTTTGCACTCACCTCGACACAATTTAGATCTAGATAACTTATATCTGGCATGCAGGGTCAACCCGGGGTGAGAGGTAATATACAGGGTGATCCAAAAAGAAAACGCCAAAATCATCACGCGATATTTCAAAAACAAAAACGATAGGAAACTCTAGCTTGGACGCGACATGCATTGTACATAACTTTAAGTTCTTGTTTCATGTTTTTCAATTGTGTCGCAACACGGTGGAAGCAGGCTCTCGTCAATTTTTGGGCATGTAGAGTTATTGGTATAATCGTAAAGCTTGTTCACTTGTCTTTATTTTTGATGAAACAAATGTCCATTTATCTTGAATACAAGTTGAGATATTTGCAAAAGAAGGGGGTGGGGGTCATCTGTTTTCAGAGGTAAAATTAGTGAGAAAATGGCCACCAAAGATTAATTATTTCCTTAAATTAAGAGTCCGTGGAAACTGAAAATTTACATTTTTGCGCCTTTAATAAACGTATTTAAGAATAATTTCACACAAAAATTAGTTCTTTAATGGGTCTGAAAAGTATTGAGCCAAAAAACAAAAATGTAATAAAAATTTGCAAACCTGTGGAAAAATTCAAGTTTCTTCACTTTGATTATTTTGACGAGAGCCTGATTCCAACACCGGTGGCACGGACAACATCAAGCCGATATGAGAATACCTCCCAAATGCGCCTCAGGATGTCTCGGTCCACCACGTTGATCGTATTGTAACTGTTTTTCCATCTGTCATGTCTTCGATATAATTTACTGAAAGTTGTGGAACATAAGTTTGTCTTTGTGAAACGTTGATGTCCTGAGATTCAATTTGTTTTACAAAGGTAGAAGAGTAGACAATATTCTTATTCTCCTCCTCTCCCTTCTCCTTCTGTTTCCTTCTTCTTCTTCTTCTTCTTCTTCTTCTTCTTCTTCTTCTTCTTCTTCTTCTTCTTCTTCTTCTTCTTCC